AAAGTAACCTGGGTAGAAGTGGTATCAGAGCCACATATTTACACATGCAAATGCATATTTAAGATTTTGAACTACTATTACTTTATTTGAATTACGTTTCTATTTTGATTTGGCTAATTCATGCATTTATGTTTACATATTTTATTAAACTTTTACTGAAATCATTAGTAAGACTTTGATGCCTTGTTAGACCATTGGTAAGTCCAGGGTAGGATGTTCCCGGCATAGTGCTCAGTTGTTCCTGATTAGGTAAAACTTTAATCAAATATAAAACATGGCTGCATTTCTTAGACAGTTAAAAATAGGATCTAATTCAAAGCAAGATAATATAGTACAAAGTCATGAATATCATATGCCTGTTAATAATTCAGATTGGACCATTCTAGAAGAAAAAATAGAACATATTTATAGAATAGGCCCGTTAGATTTCAAAACAGCTTTATCAGTTAAAACACATGAAGAAACAATATCTATTCAAGAAGAATATCAATCTATTCCATTACTAAATCATAGTACAATTCAAAAATATTTAAGTAAAGGATATCGATATATTCATATAGGACTAATACAAATTGCAGTAAAACCCTTATTCCATCTAGGAGTAGATGCACCAATATATTTAGCATTAAGAGACACTAGACTCAAACGATATAAAACTTCTTTACTTTCTATGATTCAAACAAATGTTTGCAATGGACCCATATATTTTAACTGTACTCCAAATTTTTCAATAGACCTAACAGACCCACATATTTTGAATTCAGTCGTATTAGATATTCATCTACAAAGAAATGAATTTGAAAAATACACAAAGAATTTTGCAGTAATATATAGAATATACTATAGGCCTTTATCCTCACATTTAAATCCTAAATTTATAATGACTCCAACTCTTAAAGAAGAAACAACTTTATTACAAGTAGATGCCGATAGACCTACAACTTATACTACAAAGAGATTAACATGGAATGAAATTACTATACCCAGTGAATTTGAAATACAAAATCCACAAATAGCCAGAAACATAGAACAAACTGAGGTAGAAGATATTATAGAAAAATCTGATAGTAAAACTTTAATAAGATTTTCGTCATTAAGAGAAAGACCTAATTCAAATTATTCTTGGCCACCACCGAGACATTCTAATTATGAATCAACTGAAATTAACTTTCCTTTAGAAAACACCTCAACTTTTAAATATAAAACTCCTGTTCCAGAAGTCATAAATCAAAATCAATCAGAAGTCATAGATCACACAAGACTAATGGGAAGCGTTTTTCTCAAGGTGGAGCAAGGTAGATTAATTAACTAACAATTAATTGCAACAAATTGGTAATTAATTGTGATTTGTTAGGCAACAAAAAAGTAACAATATTAATTAATTAATTATCAATTAATTGTTAAAAAGGACAACCAAATGTGATTTGATTGGCAACCAAAAAAAAGAGGCTAAATTTTGGCTAATAACTACACATAATTGACAATTAAATGCGATTTGTTGGGTAACCAAAACAATATTAATAATTATAAAAGGCTGATAATTAAATGTGATTTGTCAGACAATAAAATTGCGAAATTATTACTTAATTAATTAAAAATTAATTTCAAAAAATTGATAATTAAACTTGATTTGTTGGGCAACCCAAAATAAAAGAGGACATTTTTTATAAAATTTGAAAAAAAATTGTAATTAAATGTGTTTTTTGGGGCAAACACAAAAAAGAAGCCAAAATTTTTGTTAATAATTGCAAAAAAGTTATTAATTAAATGTGAAACTTGATTTGTTGGGCAACCCAAAATAAAAGAGGACATTTTTTATAAATTTGAAAAAAAAATTGTAATTAAATGTGTTTTTTGGGGCAAACACAAAAAAGAAGCCAAAATTTTTGTTAATAATTGCAAAAAAGTTATTAATTAAATGTGATTTGTTAGGTAAAAAAATAACACTATTAATTAGTTATTAACAATGAATTGTAAAATTTTGGTAATTAAATGTGATTTATTGGGTAACCGAAAAATGGAACCCAAATAAAAAGTAAATAAATAAATAATTATAACAAATAATAGTGGGGAATCTATAATTAAACATGGTGTGTGGCGTGACCAAATAATAAATGACACTAATGGAAGGGCACCACATTGTTGATTGTTTACGTAGAATTAATACTAAATAAAGATTATCGTGAAAATTTGATAATAATAGTTGAATGTCTTCCCCTCTCATTCCAAAAAAACAAAAATAAAGAGCACCAATTTTTTTCAATGAGATTAGCTAGGTTGTCGTTGGAAAAAAATCAAATAAAGAGTAAATTTTTTACAATTGGAGCATAACAAAAGCAATTACAAAAAGATAACATAATAATAATTAATACAATTAGAGCATAACATAAGCAATTATTACAATAAATAAAAAATAATAATTAATAATTGTGATTTATTTGGCAACAAAAAAAAAACGTTGATAATTGTGAATAATTGGGATACCAATTTTTTTTAAACACAATTTATTGTTGGGAAAGAGAAAAAAAGGCTAAATTTTAGCACAATTCTGCATGCAATTAGAAAACTACCACCTCCCATCCAATCAAAACTCGCCACATCACCATTTTCATGTGCAGTTGGAAGGACTACCACCAATCGACGAATCAGAGGACGACAACTCATCAAATTGAAATCAATTGGAGGACTACCACCAATTGACCAATGGAAGAGTGCCACGTCAGCAATTGAGTTCAATTTGAGGGAATGGCATTCACACATTTACTATATATGTTAATAATAAATAAAGATTATCGTGAAAATTTGATAATAATAGTTGAATGTCTTCCCCTCTCATTCCAAAAAAACAAAAAATAAAGAGCACCAATTTTTTTCAATGAGATTAGCTAGGTTGTCGTTGGAAAAAAATCAAATAAAGAGTAAATTTTTTACATTTGGAGCATAACAAAAGCAATTACAAAAAAAGATAACATAATAATAATTAATACAATTAGAGCATAACATAAGCAATTATTACAATAAATAAAAAATAATAATTAATAATTGTGATTTATTTGGCAACAAAAAAAAAACGTTGATAATTGTGAATAATTGGGATACCAATTTTTTTTAACACAATTTATTGTTGGGAAATGGAAAAAAAAGGCTAAATTTTAGCACAATTCTGCATGCAATTAGAAAACTACCACCTCCCATCCAATCAAAACCCGCCACATCACCATTTTCATGTGCAATTGGGAGGACTACCACCAATCGACGAATCAGAGGACTACAACTCATCAAATTGAAATCAATCGGAGGACTACCACCAATTGACCAATGGAAGAGTGCCACGTCAGCAATTGAGTTCAATTTGAGGGAATGACATTCACACATTTACTATATATGTTAATAATAAATAAAGATTATCGTGAAAATTTAATAATAATAGTTGAATGTCTTCCCTTCTCATTCCAAAAAAACAAAAATAAAGAGCACCAATTTTTTTCAATGAGATTAGCTAGGTTGTCGTTGGAAAAAAAATCATATAAAGAGTAAATTTTTTACAATTGGAGCATAACAAAAGCAATTACAAAAAAGATAACATAATAATAATTAATACAATTAGAGCATAACATAAGCAATTATTACAATAAATAAAAAATAATAATTAATAATTGTGATTTATTTGGCAACCAAAAAAAAACGTTGATAATTGTGAATAATTGGGATACCAATTTTTTTTTAACACAATTTATTGTTGGGAAAGGGAAAAAAAGGCTAAATTTTAGCACAATTCTGCATGCAATTAGAAAACTACCACCTCCCATCCAATCAAAACTTGCCACATCACCATTTTCATGTGCAATTGGGAGGACTACCACCAATCGACGAATCAGAGGACGACAACTCATCAAATTGAAATCAATCGGAGGACTACCACCAATCAACCAATGGGAGAGCGCCACGTCAGCAATTGAGTTCAATTGGGGCAATTGCATTCACACATTTACTAATTTGGCAACCAAAAAAAAACGTTGATAATTGTGAATAATTGGGATACCAATTTTTTTTAACACAATTTATTGTTGGGAAATGGAAAAAAAGGCTAAATTTTAGCACAATTCTGCATGCAATTAGAAAACTACCACCTCCTATCCAATCAAAACCCGCCACATCACCATTTTCATGTGCAATTGGGAGGACTACCACCAATCGACGAATCAGAGGACTACAACTCATCAAATTGAAATCAATCGGAGGACTACCACCAATTGACCAATGGAAGAGTGCCACGTCAGCAATTGAGTTCAATTTAAGGGAATGACATTCACACATTTACTATATATATTAATAATAAATAAAGATTATCGTGAAAATTTAATAATAATAGTTGAATGTCTTCCCTTCTCATTCCAAAAAAACAAAAATAAAGAGCACCAATTTTTTTCAATGAGATTAGCTAGGTTGTCGTTGGAAAAAAAATCATATAAAGAGTAAATTTTTTACAATTGGAGCATAACAAAAGCAATTACAAAAAAGATAACATAATAATAATTAATACAATTAGAGCATAACATAAGCAATTATTACAATAAATAAAAAATAATAATTAATAATTGTGATTTATTTGGCAACCAAAAAAAAACGTTGATAATTGTGAATAATTGGGATACCAATTTTTTTTTAACACAATTTATTGTTGGGAAAGGGAAAAAAAGGCTAAATTTTAGCACAATTCTGCATGCAATTAGAAAACTACCACCTCCCATCCAATCAAAACTTGCCACATCACCATTTTCATGTGCAATTGGGAGGACTACCACCAATCGACGAATCAGAGGACGACAACTCATCAAATTGAAATCAATCGGAGGACTACCACCAATCAACCAATGGGAGAGCGCCACGTCAGCAATTGAGTTCAATTGGGGCAATTGCATTCACACATTTACTATATATGTTAATAAGGGAGGGGAGTGTTATTTTTTAAACATTCAAGGGTGTAATCATACCATAAAAAAGAGTTCAACGCAGGTTTATGTATCTGTCCCTTGCTCCCTGATCACATCCGGTACTGATGTCCTCCATCACCGTTGACCAAACACGAGTAGAGAACATGGCAGAGCAACCGTTACAAGAAATTTCCACGGAGGCGCCACCTCCAGCTCCCCCTCCACCACCACCACCGCCGTCCCCAGGTGTGGTGCCAATCCAACTAAAGGACTGCATTAAAGATCTGCTGAAGTTCACACTGACTTCCTGTGTAGATGGAGAACTTGACTTGGGCCTCTCTAAAGATTACTGCTCTCAACTTCTCCAACGGGATGATCATCCCTCCACTCCTTCCTCCTCCTTCCCCTTATCATCATCTACCGGTAATTGCTCTTCTACAGCACTAACACCTTGTACATTATGCTTTGATAGTTGTACTTTACGCTGCCCTTTTTTCTTGTGAACGTAAAAATATTTATGATGATTTGTTCGACCAATTTACTTGGAAGTGTTGGACCTCGTGCTGTGGGAGTTGTATGTCAAGGCTGTTAATTTGTATGTCAAGGCTGTTAATTTTGAATATTGTGCATTAGGGGAAAAAATAGGATGCTTTTAAAATTAATAAATGATAGAAATAATTAATATCTATTACAAGATACTCATGATTTCCTGCTATTTTAGCATGAAATGAGAACTGGTGGCTAGCAGGTTTCCAGAAGTTTTAGGTTTCTTGGCATTTGAGGCTCTGGCAATTGTGAGTTGAGATTGTTTGGTATAATGTGCAGCTCTCAAGTCATAAACCATGCAACAAATTAACAGTGACAGACAGTGTAGACTTCGGACACTGTTTTTCTGGACAGATATGCACGTTGGATTTAATTCAAAAATACAATAGCACATTTTGAGAGAAGCATTTTCGGGGCAAATCTAGGCAGTCAACTGCTAGAGATAATCCTTAGTGAAGATCTTTCTCGTCTTATTTTCATTGTGTTGTACCTTACTTGTTGAATATTGTTCTTGTCTCATAGTAGTCACAGTTTGTTCACCTGCTTTTAAGGTAGGAGGTTTATCTTTGATTATCTTTTTGTCCTGTTGTTTTGTAGGTAAATGGTTTTCTTTGACATGAGTAATGTTTGGTTAATCTCTTTACAGGGGTTCCATCATATCCTTTATATAAGCACCTAGCAGCATGCTTGTATCACTCTATATCTTGTGGAGGATTGTTTCGGATTTCTGACAAACTTGATTTCGTTCATCATGAAGATAATCCCTTGAAGCTGAAAGAAGAGGAGTGGACTAAGTTAATCAATGAAAAGGGTTCTCAGTTGCTGAATGTAAGTTAAAAGTCACAATCTTGCCTTTTTGATCGACTGCCTCACTCATTTAAATTACCTTTTGCTCATACTGATGTATTGGCAGTTTCTATCTTATAGATGTTGGCAACTGTGGATTTTGAACTCCACGTCCAGGAATCTTTCTTTTCTCAGCTGAAGGGTACTAAAATGCCAGCATTTTAATGCTTCTCTCAAATGACTTTATCTGAATCTTGATTGTGATTGGTTCATTTTTTTATGGGTGTATTCGTTCTTATCATTGTAAGTCTATAACTTATCATTTGTTTTCTAGATGCACGCAAGACGGTTGAAGGAAGGTGTGCAGTTGGGAACTACAACAGGTATGACATCTTTCTTGTCCATAGTGGGGTAAACTGCACACTTTGCTTGTGTTGTCCTCTTTGTTACTTAGGTGATGATTCACCGGATTCTACGTCAATGCTTAAATCATGAACACAAACAAATTGTTCATTTGAAACAACCCAAATTTGCTTTAGCTCCTTGTGAATTCTAAAAGTTTGATAATTGATTTCTTGAGATAGGACATCTTTTTTCTAGATACCCGTTCCTTGACTAGGTTTGGCAGATACCTCAGTAGGGGCAAAAAACGGTTTTGAGGTTATTCAAAACATCACAAAGGCCAAAATATATCCATAAAACCTGTATTTTCAAAGTATTCTCTCATTCCAATTTGACATGAGATTTGATATTGTAGTTTAATGCTATTTGGTTATTTGCTTGAGGGGAAATGTTTGGGTTTCCATTGAGATTCACTGAACCTGTCCAAAACCTTCATAAATTTATAAAACATGGGCAATTTAACTCTTAAATCAGTTCATCTTTAGTCTTTTTGACTTAAGGGTGACATTTTGGCAGTACATTATCTAGATGTGCACCAAATTTACTCATAGTTGAAAGTGAGGCTCAAACAGAGAGTTTAAACTAGAGTTCGTCTTGGTTTTTCTGGTCTTCTTATAGATCTTTTGGCACTCACACAGTGCTTGATTTGTACTCAGTAGATGTCAACTAATAAACACATGAGTGCAAAATAATTTTTAGTTGTTATTGATTTGATTTAGAGGGACTGAGCAATTCAGTTAGCAGTTCCAAACTAAATATGAAGGTGAAGTCTGGTTGATTTGATAGGACTATTATGGTGATCTGTAACAAGTTTATCCTGAATTATTCTCCTTTGCTGGCACATTTTGCTTCTCCTGACTGTCATAATATAAGTTCGTATGTATCTAACCTAGACATCTATTGTATCATGCTTCTTGAACTAATGCCCAAACACTGATATTTGCTGGCAAAAAGCCTATTTAAGCTATGTTTTTAGGCCCGAAAGTCTGATCTTGACTGTTGAATAAAGCAACTCATCCTTTTCCTTTTATAGGTTAAAATTTTCTTTGAGTGTACTTTTTGTTTTCCTCGCCCTTTATTTCTGATGATGTGTTCTCTTGGGTGCTAGAATTGTACCAGGAGCTTTCATTCTCTTCAATAAAAGTTTGCTTCTTCAAGTTCAGGTTATAACATGTTTCATCCAGTTGATTTGTTTTTTATTGAATAATATAAGAAGAGCTCGATTAATTTCAGGATGTCCATAAATATATTTCATTCCATGAGATGTTGGAGGCAGAAAGTCTTCAAAGAGTTCTCCCTGGAGTAAAAAACATCGAAGAAGGTATGAATTTGATATTCAGTTTTTCCGAAAGCAGAGTAAATTGGAACAAGTCCTACTGATTGTAGTCATCTTCAAGACTAGCAGGAACCATAATGCATGAAAACACTTTCAAAGCTTCTTTCCTTGTTTCATTTAACGATGATGCTTTTATGCATTTTTACTCCCTGGAGATGTGGATAGTTGAGTACCAGCAAGGACCACATATGGTTATTGATGAGTAGGATTTACACCTGTTTGCTAGTTTTAGTACTAAGTTTAGCAAGACATTTGTTTAATCTTGTGTGGACCTACTTAGCAAAGGTTCAGGGGAATTGGGACTGAACGTGGAAGACACCAATAACAGTGGCACAAACAATAAGGTTAATGATAATGATGAAACAGAATAATGGCATGACACATCAGTGATAAGATTTTCGAGGCTCTGCTTGGATTGCAGAGTATTTCAGAAGCAAGCGTTTGTTTTTGGAATCTATAGTAACACACTCTAAAAATACCTGCAAAAACACTCTAAATTACAATTTCAAATGCACCCACACGCACACACACACATATACAGATGTATATACAAATATATATATATACACACACACACACACACAAACACACACACACATATATATAATGTGTGTGTGTGTGCATATATGTATATATATGATTGTATGTATGTATGTAGATGTATATGATAAACCTACCACCTCTTTCTTCTCCTACCCACCGCCACCCTCCCCTCCCCTCCCCTCCCCCGCAACCCCCCTGCAATTAGATCTGGTCTGGTTGCGGCTGTGACCTGGCCGGCTACCAAATCTGGTCACGGCCGAGGGGAGGAGGGGGAGAGGGAAGAGGAGGTGGATGGTGGGGGGAGGAAGAGGGAGGAGGTGGATAGTGGGGGGAGGAAGAGAGAGGAGTGGGACGAAGAGGGAGGAGGAGGAGGGAGGAGGGGGAGGAAGAAGAAGAGGGCGGAGGGACGAGGGAGGAGGGAGGGAGGGGAGGAAGAGGAAGAGAGAAGAGAAGGGAGGAAGGAGGGGGAGGGACAGGGAGGAGAGAGAAGGAAGGGAAAGGGGGAGGTGGCCGTGGAGGAGGGGAGGATGGTGGTGGTGTTGGGTGGTGGTGAAAATTAGTAAATTTGAAAAAATAACCCCATAAAATTTTAAATTTTAAAAATACCCCAAAATACATCTCCAAAAACACCTAATCCATATGACCTATCTATAGTAGGAAGCTTTTCAAGTACAATGCTAGAAGCATGAGTGCGAGTTTTTTTGTTTGGGGGGGGGGGGGTTGGATGAGATACAAGCATGAGTGACAAAGAATTTACTTTATTAATTTTTTTATTCTTCTGTAGCAGTTGTGCTTCTGTGTATGTATTCATACTAAGCTTCTGTTTGGTAGAATAGTATTTGGCTAGCTAAATTATGATATGGGAGTTTGCGAGCATGTCTTTCTAAAGAGAATTGTGATATTTTTCAGGAGTGCAAGTCTACAGGAACTTCTACTCAGAAGAGAAAGAAAGGTCAAATGGTGTCCTTGCCATTTGTGTAACAAAACCAACATCTCAGCTGTACAGTTGTATGGCCGCTATACTCTTGGTTAGTGGTTAACGGCTTTAAGCTTGCATTTTTTGCTCTCTTCATCAGGATTTCTCATTTACATACTTCTCTTTGGTTCCTGTATTTCTGCTTCTTTTTATTTCAAAGCTGGGAATATGCATTTGTCCATGCTACTACTCAATGCAAATGGAATTGTTTTTTGGTTTAACATTTTAATAGATGCTCCCTGCAATTGTGAAACCTTCTCCACATTTACTGAATTGCCTAAGGACTTAAATTTTTATTAGGTAAGTTAATATTCCTCGATCCACAGCAAGTACTTTCAAAAGAAAATCAAAAGAGCAACTTTTTTCTTAGGGCTAGTAAATAGTCAAGATGAATATGATGCTGATACTCTTTAGTAGAAAATAATATGGTGAAATAGAAAAGTGATACTGGCAGATACTGTAAATGTAGGACATATATATGCGCAGAAACCCATCACATACTTTATTCTAATCCTCTCGCTGCCCTATTTCATCTGAAAGCATTTTAAGGCTTTTTCTGGTATGTGTTTCTGAACATAACATGGTTGGTTGGGTTATTGAAAACTACTCCCATAATTCCTCGAGTCATCACTGAGTGTTTGACTTGCCCTCTATGCCATGATTCAATTATCAAGAAATAGGAGTCATTTAATCCATGTACAATGCTTATATGTGCTCAATACAGAGTTTCCAGTTTGTCTTTCTCACATTGTCAAATACTTAACTCTATGTAAAGATGAAAATTTAGCCATGTTCTTTGGTACTTACAGATTTTTTTATTACAATCGACTGTGTATGCATATTGAGCTATGGTGTAGTACTGTGTCAAATAAAAGTTAATTTGTTCTTTTGTGCACGTCATGAGTTGTAACTGAATGTGGCAGGTGTCTGGAATTGTAAAGTATTGACATTAGATTTCATTTATGTTTCATTAGCTTTGGAAATGATTTTCATTCAACAACTCTCAAACTTACCAACTTTTGATTGCAAATCAAATTGGTGTGTAAATCTCATTAGACTTTGTGAGACGACAGCTATGTTTATGTGTTGCATGTTGAAGGGTGTAAGTTGCCATTTTAGTTCATTTGGACTGGAAATGTGTACTAGTGAAATTTGTTGCATGAGAAGGTAGAAGAAATTAAAAGATTGCTTGCATGTTTGTATGCTAATTCTTCTCTGACCATTGGGGCACTTTTTGAATGTTTGATACTTGGTTACCAACCATTGTTTCGAGAACGATGATCTTGTGTGATATTTCCTTCCTATTAGGAAAACTTATGATTGTTTAACTTCATGTTGAGATGTAGATATTTCCTGTAATTCATTGGTTTTGTGGAATTTTTTAATCCTACCATGGAAGCTCTGAAAAGAATTTACAGCATGATAATTTCTATTAGAGTAGGATGCTTAAAGAAGGTTACTGAATTGTGTTTAGTGTAGAATCTTAGAATCAAGCCTGCTCATTTTTTTTACCAATATGGAAGCATAGCAGTGTACATAGACCTGTTTTCATTTACAGTGTAATTATGCACTCATCTATGTTCTTTGCATTTATGTGGAAGCCTGTTGATTGTTTGGATGTGTTATTACGTGTAATATTCATATTTATGGATGTCTGGAGAATGTTGGTCTTGTTTATCTTGACAAGTTTGTAGTTCATGGCAAAGCAATAGGGGTGTGGTGCTATATCTTCTGTTTGTTGTTTATAGATTAGGCACACACTATGGGTAGTTTTGTACTAATTTTGGTTTGAGATGCGTACTGAGTAATTCATATTTTGTTTTGAACTGATGGTGGCAAGCTACTGACTTTGCAGTTCCATTTTATTTAGGGATTAAGTTATGGTGGTATCAGAGTGATGTTGAATATGGTGCATACTGTGGGAACCGTTTCGGAGAGGCTTCCTCCATCGACATCAACTCTTATCTCATCATTTTTAACACCACATAATCCACATGTACTGCAATGACTTCTGAAGATCCAATCTTTGTATGTTCAGTAATCTGCAGCTTATCATTCCTTTAGCTTCTCTGACTCTGTTTGTTAAGTTCTGTGATTGTGACTTCTGGTATGATGGAAGAAAAATGAAAGACGAGAAAAGCAACAAGTGACGTGAGGAAGCTTTATCTGCTTGGCTCTGCATGTTCTTTTGCTAGAGATGAGAGGAAATTTGTTTGGCTGAAATGCACAAAGCAACTCATAATGTAAATTTTTATTTACAAAGAATAACAGAAAAGAAAAGTGTCGAGTGATATCTTAAGAGCTTCGTCTGTCTAGCTCTGCATATTCATTCGCTGGAAATGAGTGGAAATTTAGGTGGCTGAAATGTACTGAATGCAGAGCAAGTCACAAAATAAATGTTTTGGATGTCCTTTTTTATGTTGACTTTTAAACCCTCGTATTATCTTCGGTTTTGTTTTCCCATGATTAAAGATGTTTTGTCTATCTGAAAGAAATGTCAGTCGATCTTGTTTTCCTTGTAGTTTTTCTGGATAATGAACCTGTGTTAGCACTTAATTTCTTTTATACCCTCGCTTTCCTTGATTAAGGTTAAAGGATCTAGGCTGACTAATGGAGCTCGGGCCTTGGCAAAGCATGTCAACAGGAGCAGTGACAAGTATTGGGGTAACTTCTGTGGAAGTGGTTAGTTAAATTACTTTTGATTGTTTTAGATAGGTAGTCTGATCATGTGCTAATTACTGCCACAGCTGTGCTTTTCTTTCTGTAACCTTTGCTATGTATTCACTATTCGCTGAGAAAAATAACTTGGCATCATCTTCTCTCATGGAACTGCGTATCTTCAAGCATGGAAGTGCATGTACATTTTTTGACTGAGGATCGATAAGCTATGGAAGTGCACATACATTCAAAAGAAAAGCTATGGAAGTGCACATACATTTTTTGACTGAGGATTATGCCTTGGTTTGTATCAATAATAGTGTTTAACTGGCTATGATTTGTGATTTTTTTATGCTAATAGTTTTGTTGCCATCATCCCTTTGTGAATTATTTAGGTATTTAGAAGATAAAAGTTAACCAGAAAAGAAGATTGGTAACAAGATGGAGACAGATAGAAAAGTAGATACAATGAAAGAAAAACACTGCTGCAGTAGAAAAGATTGTGAAAGCAGGAAGCAAACCTGAGACTTATAGTTGTTGCACTAGTTCTCCATCTTATGAAGTTGAATGGAGTAATTTATCACATGATCATATAATAGAATTGCACAGTTATTCTCTTTGTTGCCACGTGTTAGCTACATGCGGTTAGCAATACTAACTGAGAACGATAATAGTTTTGTGAAATCATCATTTGTAATTGGAAGTAGACGTGTACTATTTGGGAAGATTTGTGTTGAGCTTGTATGTCTTCTTTGAAGTTATGGTTTGACCATCGTAGAGGCCTAATATGATGATTTTCTGGTTATAAAAACTGGATTGATGAATTCTCAGAAATGAGAATCAAAATTAACGCACATACATGTCTCCAGACAGACTTTCATTTGAGAAGATAAGCTATGATTGTCTCTAAAATGCCAGCCCCTGCCATTTTTATGACAATTCTTCTCGCTCCTCCATCTAAACTATAGCCCAAGAAAGAGAATCATCAACCTTAATTTTTTATTGACATTTTCCCTCCTTTTTTTCCTTCTTCTTTCTTCCTTTTCATTCCTTTCCTTTACCTCTTTTTCTCCCAAATACCACTATTTTTGGGCCTCCATTGGCATTTTCTACAGGCGTTGTATATCTTTCCATCACCTTTGGTGCTCCAACTCAATTAGCTGCACTTACATTTGTGTGAGGTTGACAGCTGCCAGAAACTTCCAAAATGCACTTTCTTATGAACTTGTCCTACTTGGGTTTTGACTTGCAGGCTGTGTCAACTTGTAGATCTTTTGTTAGTTTTCATAATAAAGTGCATCGATAAGCACTATACAGTATGGCATTTTGGGATCAGGTCCAATTTAAAAAAATGAATGTTCAAGTGCCTTCTTTTTGTTTATGGATAAATAGGTATTAATTTCTCATATTGACTGTCCAGATTCTAATAAAAATAGGCTCGCATTGGATGTCATCAGACGGTTAATAGCTAATTGCTGCTGGTTGAATATGCATAGAGTTCCACCGCATGGTGTTGTGTTTGAAATAAGGGTAGCTGATGGTTATGGTGCACGGTGGTTCGCAGATGGACACAAGGTATACCTAACATTCTTTTGGTTTTTATGGTTTGATGTCTGCTAGAAAAGAGATTGATATCTTAACTTTAGCATATAGAACTTTCATACCTACATTATTTTGGTATCAATTTCCTAGTTACTATTGGACTCTGTTATAAAGTTGTAGATTAGTAGTTCAATTGCACCCCGAAAAAAAGAGTATTACTTATATGATCTGCTGTAGCCAAGTTTCACTATTCTTTCCTGTTTATTGAAGTTCATTACTACCATTTGTTTTGGTTCTTCAATTGGAATGAATTATCCATTTCCCCAGTGAGTTAGACATTTGGGCTAGAGTTGGATAACAATTCCGAATAATCGTTCTTCATAAATTTAGTTTTTTCTGCTACATACATTTTGTGAAATTGCCAATGAAGATTGGCTTGTTGATTTCAAAGCAAGATAGTTCTGTTTAGATTAAAGAACTTTGAATTGAATTTGCAGTTCATCGGATTTCTTGAGCCATATATGGTTGATGGTCACTCAAAGGGGTGGAAGCACTAAATTTTCATTCTTTTGAAGGGGTAGATTGCTCTTCTTATTTTAAAGTGATGTTTCTGTTCTTTCTGAGAGCTATACTTATTTAGCAGTAGTGCTCCTCTTATTTCGTCAGAATATTTGAAGTAATGATTTTGCTTCATCATGCTAAGATGCCTTTTTTAAAGTCTGCCTGAGAACTTTTTGAATAGCAGATCATTGTAGCAGTTGTAGTAGTAGAGACTGGCACAGTCAAAATTACCTTCATGATGATACAACTTCATACTAGCCATTGTTATCCAAGTTTTGTTAGGGGTAGCAATGTGTTTGTGCTACTTAAAAATGCTATTAGTTACCTAAGTTTTGCCAGGGGTGGCAATGTGTTAGTGCGACTAGGAAAATGCCATCTGGATCTGCTTCTCCCTTTCTCATTTCTGCTTCCCTTTCCTTTAGATGTATTAATTTTTACATTGTCATATTGCCTATTTGACTTGCTGCTTATTCATGTTTGCTTCATGTTTCTTAAAATTGCTTAAAGTCCTTAATGGAAAAGTTATTTTAGAATATGATTTGTTTTAGTAGTATTTAAAAAAAAATTTCAAAAGCTATTTCCGAAACATCTCAATGACTATTGGAGGATGTTCTTCTAAACAACAGCGCAAGTCATAATCTTATGATAACTTACCAAAATAACTTTTAGCTTCATAAAAGTTTTACTAACTCAGTCTTGAGCAATTCAGAACAATTTTTATGTTCTTCCCTCCTCTTTTTTTTTTTTCAATTTTTTTTCCTTTTTTTTGGGGGGGGGGGTGTGTGTGTGTGTGTGTTTGGGGAGGGGTGTAGGGGTAGAGTTCGATCTAGATGCTGTATAGGGAAAATATTTTTGTTTCTTTATTTGTTACTCGACTCATAACTTGCCTTTTATTGCAGATCTGTAGTACTGTATGTTTTGGTTTGGCGTTCGCTTAGATTGACTTTAAAATCTATTCGATTCAAAGTTTGATGAACATCAAATTGTCTTGTATTTTAGCTGATAGGAGATTTTTGTTTTTGAAGTTGATATCAGATGAGTAAAGTAAAACAAACACTTGAGTAGGCCAAATTCATGTCTTCTCTCCTTGAGAAATTTATACTTGGCATGCAAATTTTGCATTCGGTATTTTATGCATGATGTAGTGTCTACATTTTGGCAGCATGCATATGGGATGAATTAGTACCTGCCTAATTTATGATAGGCTATTCCTCCGCAAGAAAAGGATTAGGAATCTATTAGACAAAGATCCTTTTTCCGTATTTTGACCTGATATTCTTTATGATGCCATTCCACCACAAGAAAAGGATTAAGAATTTGATAGACAGATCTTTTTCGCTACATTGACCTGATATTAAAAGTTACTAATCTGAAGTCTGAATCATGACATTGCTATTTTTGATAGAAATCTATGTTCTTGTTCTTCATTTGGTTTTTTTTTTTTGAATTTTTTTTTAGCAGGGGAGGGGTGGGATATAAGAATCACAGGGGCACAGGAGAATTAAAACCCAGAACATCTAATTCCTGGGGTCCAATCTTAGCCATTACACCAAGTCATTGCTCTTAATCTGGTTCCTAAAATCCAGCAATCACTATTTCGGGTGGTAGTGACAGAAGTTGGGCACACATAAATTGGTATTTTCGAGAGAGATTCCATGTTATTGTTGCTCTTAATCAGGTTCCTAGATACAGGAGTCACCATTTTTGGTGGCAATGACAGAAGTTGGGTGATATGCATCCACATTTATGGTTATCTTTCTTCACTTCTAATTTTAACCTGTTGTATTTGAGATACCAATATGTTATAGTAATACATAAACGAAAACAGTTCAAAAAACATATCATCCATACAATATGTAAAAAATAACTCACAAATATACACAAAAAATTAAAAAAAAAAATTTATAACATTTTTCACCGATCACCACCACCACTCACCACCCACCACCGCCACCACCCCCTCCCTCTTCCTTCCTCCCTCTCCTTCCGTCTTCCTCCTCCCCTCCCTTTCCCCCCATCCCTCGGCCCTCCCCTCCCCCTTTTGATTTGGTCGAGGCCTTTAGTTGTGATCAGAGGCTGTGATCTGGTCGCGGTCGCGGCTAGATCGAGCGGGGAGGGGAGGGCCAGGGGATGGGGGGAAGGGAAGGGGAGGAAGAAGAGGGAGGAGGAGGGGCAAGAGGGATGGGGGAGGATAAAGGAGGGAGTGGTGGCGGTCGTGGGTAGGGAGTGGTGGCGGTCGTGGTTATGGGTGGTAGTATTAATTTTTAATAAGTACCATAAAAATAATTATTTAATATTAAAAGTTTTCCCAAAATATATTCCAAAAGCATATCTATAGTAAAAGTTTTTCATATGCACTGTTACAGTAAAATATTTCAAAAAATCCCCAAAAACAGCTAATTCAAATGGAGTTAATATTCTCACTTTCAGTCGGTTTATCTCCATTGAATCTTTGTCATGCTTGTACACTTTTTTTTTTTTAAGTGTAAGTGAGAATTCTCAAATTCGGGACCTCTCAATTACTATCCTTCCTCCCCTACCATCCAACTCATGTTTCTTTCCCTTGTCACACTTGTACTCTTCTGCATGTGACTTTCTGTAAATCCCAATATGCCTACTTGTACAAACCCAGCTTATTTTCTAATGCAATTGAGTGAGGCAAAATCGACATTAGACTTGTGTAGAATTTTCATTATGACATTAGATTAGGACGAAGCAACCAACAGCCATTAAAATTTTGCATGTAAAGGAAAACAAATACTTGAGTAGGCCAAATTCATGTCTTACCTAGAGAAATTTATACTTCGCATGTAAATTTTGCATGTGGTATTTTATGTATGATGTAGTGTCTAGATTTTGGTAGCATACATAGGGGATGAATTACTTCTTGCGTAATTTATGATAGGCCATTCCTGCGCAAGAAAAGGATTAGGAACCTAGTAGAAAGAGATCCTTTTTCCGTATTTTGACCTGATATTCTTTGTGATAACGCCATTCCACCACAAGAAAAGGATTAGGAATCTGGTAGACAAAGATCATTTTCCATACTTTGACCTGATATTAAAAGTTACTGGCAACTAATCCGAAGTTTGAATCTTGGCATTGCTATTTATGATAGAAATTTGATGTTCTTGTCTTTAATTTGGTTTTTGTTTTTAATTTTTTTTTAGCAGTAGATGGGTGGGATAAAAGAAGCGCGCAGGGGGCATGGGGACAGGAGAATTAAAACCTAGAACATCTAATTCTCGGGGTCCAATCTTAGCTATTACACCAAGGCATTGCTCTTAATCTGGTTCCTAAAATCCAGCAGTCACTATTTCGGGTGGTAGTGACAGAAGTTGGCCAAATAAATTGCTATTTTCTAGAGAGATTCTATGTTATTGTTGCTCTTAATCAGGTTTCTAGAATACAGGAGTCACCATTTTTGGTGGTAGTGGCAGAAGTTGGATGCTATGCATCCACATTTATGGTTATCTTTCTTTACTTTTAATTTTAAGCTGTTGTATTTGAGATGCCAATATTCTCATTTTCAATCGATTTATCTCCATTGAATCTTTATCACGCTCGTACACTTTTTCTTTCTAGTGTAAGTGAGAATTTTCAAATTCAGGGCCTTCCACTTACACTTTCTTTCCCGTACCCACCCAATTCATGTTTCTCTCCCTTGTCACACTTGTGCACTTCTGCAACTTTTAGTAAATCCCAATGTGCCTACTTGTACAAAGCCAGCTTGTTTTCTAATGCAATTTAGTGAGGCAAAATCGACATTAGACGTGTAGAATGTTCATTATGACATATCAGATTAGGATGAAGCAACCAACAACCATTAGCATTTTTGTGCACAAACAGTAGATTTAGACGATTAAATTGATTGTATCTTGTTTGTCAATTGCCTTTATTCATCTTCCTTGAAATGGCTGTCAATTATTAATGGCTTCAAATTTCCTTCAAGGTTTTCCTTTCAATCTCTTTTTTTAAATAAAAATTATAGGAGGATTGATCAAAAAGGAACAATGCAGAATAAGAATGCATTTACCTAGAAACGTCCCCTCGCATATGGTTGCATTGGTATACTTTAAATCACGAAGGGAATACTCCACAGTGACTTCAGTAAAAGATTTTCTTTTGTATAGAAATCTAACAGCACAATTTAAATGAAGATGACTTTGTGAAGAAATATAAAGTAAGGCAGAAAAAAACTACATAAAATATGAAGGAAATGGCTTAGGGATACATTTTCTTCTTCTGACATTCAAAATTAAGTTTAAACCATAAGCTTAAAATGTGGTAATAAAGTAAGATAACTT